GGTCCCTGGATGGCAATTTTTCCCGTAATCATTGTATCTTGCTTCTTTGGCCCAATGAGATTGGGTATAAAGATCGCCATGGGGGGATGGGTTCAGGGACAGGATTTGATAGGTTGGGGATGGGGAGTGAATTTTCCACCCCGCCCCAACCTTGTTTATATATTAGATATATTAAATATATACTTATATAATATTATTTATATTAGGATAAATTATAAAGACCCGTATTATGGGGTCTGTAATGAAGACCTTATTCTTTCAAGAGCCCATTATAATATATTTTAATTTTCATACTATCCTTTTAATAACTAGTCGAGCAAAACACTTTTCATCTTCTCCGACCTTTCGATGCTACCCTTCCCTTCCTTCACGTCATGACAACGAAGCGTTTTAATTAGCCTTATCTCTCTTTCTACTCGTACTCCTCTTTTGACCTAAACAATTGATATATGAGAGATATGTCAAAAGCGAGGATGGACATCAAATAACAAATAACCTATATCAGAATCTCAGACCCAGTTCATACTTCGGAAGCCAAATACGGGCAAATGAAAAAATATTTTAACAAGTAGACAACACACGTAACGAAAGAAAAAACCAATCCCGAATCTAGAATCGTAAAATTAAATCAGAAAAACCCTAAAAGAAAAGAAAGTAATGGAAGACAGAGAGAAAGAGAGCAATAGAAGACCTCGGAGGAAGGGTTAACGTGCGAGATGACAAAGATTTTCTTTTGGAGGAGGAATTACAGGCAGCCATTGGCTTTAGTTCAACCTGCAACAAACAAAATAAAGAGAAGCAAAAAAGGAAAAAAAAAAAGAAAAAGAGAAAGCTTTAAAGGGAATAGATAGATTGAAAGAACCGAACGTAAAATTGAAGAATTATCCAATCCCTGTTTCGGTGGTACAGGCTACAACGAGCCTCAGGTCTTCAGAGGAAAGCTCGCTCTCTCGCTGCCGGCCCGCAGTGGGTTCCGTGAACGCAATGTACAGGGGGTTTTTGACAGTATGATGACTTGTTGTCAAACGAGGACTTGTAGAATCGTTCTGTGGAGGAATCGTTCTCAAGCTAGGACTTGCAGAAGCTGCAACTGATTTCTGGATGAAAGCGCGCACGGATGGGAATTGAAACTCGGCTCAGGGATAAGATCCCTGAAATCCAGGCCAGGCAATGAAGCAGATTCTAGATACAGTCCCTCTCACCCCTGTGATAACGTTGTCGTGCAGGCTAAGCTTTTTAAGAGCTTGAAGTTGGGCGATCTTCTCGGTGATATGGGCAGACATTTGTTGTTGGGCTATTAAGCATTGCAATTTCTCATGATCGCAGCATCGTCAGCGACGGCTATAGAGGCGAGATTGAAGACGGAGAAGAGAAGAAAACGAAGATGAGAAATGGGTTTCCTCTGTTCATTTGGAAGAGTTGAGAGAGAGAAAGAAGGAAAGAGGACCGTGAGGGAGAGGAAAAGAAGAGAATAAAGGGAAAACAATAGGTTAAATAGGTTTTAAGAGAAAAAGAGCAAAAAAAAAAAAAAAGAAAATAGAAAAGGTTTAGTGGGTTATTTTGGTAATTTAACGCATTTCATCATACTTAACGGTCAAGGGGGTTTTTGTCTCATGGTCATAGTACAGGGGGTCTCTGTAATTTACCCTTTATATTATTTATGATAATATTTATATTATATGTATTAAAATATATTTAAAATGTTTTTTATGTTTTAAAGCATGGTTTTCAAAATTGGACCGGATCGGACGGTTGGACTAGAAAAACCGGGAACTGGTTAGGTGATCGGTTCCGTTTTTCTCAAAAATCGAGTATTTGCAAAAAAAACGTTGATTTGGTCAGCAAACTACTGACCTGGGTGGTTGAACCGATCAAACCGTTCAATAGTTTTGACCATTTTTTTATTTTTTATTTTTTTAAAATTTTTATTAGAACAACCGTTCGACCTAGGAATCAGACCCATGATTGGTTCATACTCCGGGTCGGTTTTAAAAACCTTGTTTTAAAATAATCTATTTTTTTAAACTAATTTTTATTTGAAAATTTCGAGGTTTTGGGTCCCCAACAAGAAACTCATCTCGGTCTAGAATCAGGGACAAAAAGTCATTTTTATCCTCGACAAGGGTTAGGATCAAAAGCTAGTGTGGATTGGGTTTCAAGACAAGGCCGTGGTAGATGGGAAGAGACCCCCTTTCCTGGATTGGTGGGGGGTGAGCGCGGGATGCCATTACCTTGATCCCTTCGAAGTAGGAGAGGACCTGGAGTCATGCTGGATTAGGGTTTACGGCCTACCACTCCTGCTCTGGTGCCCAAGTGTCATAAGGGCTATTGAGGATGCTTGTGAGGGTTTTATAGAGACGAACAATTCCTCGCTGGAGATTGCGACTTGAGAGTGGGTAAGAATGAAAATCCGTAGGGGAAACCAAATTCCAAGCAAGGTTGAAGTAGTAGCAGGGGAAGTGGTCTTCAGGGTTCAGATCTGGCAAGAAGTTTTGTCGTCTGTTCGAAGTTGGAGAGGTGGAGAAGGGTTGTCTCACGATGTCCTTAAAGGAGACAAGGAGAGTTCGAACTGCTCCAAAACGTTAATCCTGGAAGATTTCGGCGAAAGTGAGCTTCTCGGTTTTTCGGTAGCAGAGAGGTATTAGAAGATGGAGATGTGAGTTGCTTCTCCGGTGACCGTAGATAGAGAAGAAGATGCAGGTTTGGGGTACTGAGGATCCAGTTATGAAGGATTTACCCAGGATCCAGTTGTGAAGGAGATTCGAAATTCAAATATGAGGGGTAGTGGGTAGGCTTGGGGTACTGAGGTCATTAAAGCCTTAATTAGAGAATGCCTTGTAGAGCTCCAACTGACCCCTAGGGAAGGTAGTGCACCAGAGAATTGTCAGAAGGGTTGTCAGCCTCTCCCACTCGAGTCTTAGTGGGCCCAAGGGACTTCGGATGAAGTTAATGGGCCTGGAATGCTTTATTCAGCCCAATAGACTCTTTAACCTTTTATTCTGGAAGATGGGCCTGGGCTCAATGGTTATATTGAGTCTAGTCCATCCTCTGTTCGAAGGACGAACCTGGGCTTAAGTGCAAAGTGTTTTGTTGTTCCTAGTTTGTTATGGAGCTTAAGATATTATCTTGGAATGTTAGGGGGCTGGGGTCGGGGAGAAGGAGCCTAGTAGTTTGTGACTCTCTGAAAAGTTCAGGTTCAAAAGTGGTATTGATTCAAGAAACTAAATTGGAATCTGTGGAGGTCGGAGTGGTTAGGAGTATCTGGGGGGAGGGGGAGGTTAGGTGGAGGTCGAAGTCGGCAGCTGGTAGTGCAGGGGGTTACTGAGTATGTGGGACCTGACTGTTTGCAGCTTGATCTCTCATCAGATTGGACTTTTTTCAATTTCTCTTGTCTTGAAACTTGCATATGGCAATGTGTGTCAGATTACTAATGTGTATGGTCCTAATGACTGAAGTCGGAGGGAGGAGTTTTGGGAGGAGCTAGCAGTGGCTAGGGGAAGTTTGGATTGCCCGTGGGTTATTGGTGGGGATTTTAATGTCACTCTTTCTTGGGAGGAGAGAAGCTCGGGGGGAAGAAGATCAAGGGAAATGGTGCAATTTGCTGATTTTATCAACATATTTGAGCTTCAAGATTTTCCCATTCATGGCAATAGTTATACTTGGACCAACAATCAAGACCTTCCTACCCTAGTGAGGCTGGATAGGTTTCTGGTTACTTCTAACTAGGAGGATATTTTTCCCGAGTTTAAGCAGATTGCCCTTCCAAGGCCAGTGTCAGACCACATTCCAATTCAACTGGTTTGTGGTGTTAGAGAGAGAACAAAAGTTTGGTTCAAATTAGAGAATGCTTGGTTTGAGGATGACTCTCTAGTTCCGTTGTTGAAGTCCGTTTGGGAGGATATGCAGGTGGGAGGTACCAGTTCATTCATTTTAGCAAAGAAATTGGGAGCCATTAAAGCAAAGTTAAAGATTTGGAAAGTGGAGAAAAATTTGAATCTAGATACTGAGAAGAAGGCTCTACTGAGTATCATAAAGGAGATTGACACAGATAAAGAATTAGGTCCTATTACTGAGGAGCTCAGATTAAAAAGATTTCAGGCTAAGTTGAAGTTTGACAAATTGGTAGTGGCAGAAGAAATTAAATGGAGACAAAGAGCCAAAGTGGTGTGGCTGAAAGAGGGGGATAGGGATACACATTATTTTCATTGAGTCTGATATGAAGCTAGTGGCAACTAGCTTTTACAAGAAGTTGTATAAGGAATCTTGGGCATTCATACCTTTTCCAAGATCTCTTTCTTTTAACAAGCTGACTGATGAGCAGTCTTCTTTCATTGAGAGACCTTTTTCTGAGGAGGAAATTAAAGAAGCTATCAAGTTGTTGGCTGATGAAAAGTCTCTAGGGCCCAATGGTCTTACAAATCTCTAATCTCTTTTACATTAAATGCTGGGACGTGGTGAGACAGGATATATTGAATGTTTTCCAGAACTTTTTTGAGAGGGGTTCATTGTAGAGAAGTCTGAACATTTCCTTTATAACACTTATTCCAAAGATTGAAGATTTTGTGAATATTAAGGATTTTAGGCCAATTAGTCTATTGCATAGCTTCTACAAAATCCTATATAAAGTCCTTGCAGAAAGATTGAAAGCAGTTCTTGGTAGAGTTATCTCAAATAACCAAAGTGCTTTTATTCCGAATAGACATATTCTAGATTCAGTTCTTATTACCGATGAGTTCATTCATTCTAGGAAAAAAGAAGACTCTCCGGGTTTGATTTGTAAACTGGATATTGAGAAAGCCTACGATCATGTTAATTGGAGATGTGTAGACCTTGTGCTTCTTTAGATGAATTTTGGGTAGAAATGAAGGAATTGAATGAAAGTATGTATCACTTCCCCAAAGTTCTCAGTCTTGGTAAACGGACAGTCTACAAGTTTCTTTGATAGTTCCAGGGGTCTTAGGCAGGGAGACCCTCTATCTCCTCTGTTATTTCTATGTGTAATGGAGATCCTTACTTTTTTCTGCAAGAAGGCTGCTGAGTCAGGGGATTGGGAAGGTTTTTCAATGGTGTCGGGGGGAGAGAAGGTGAACATTCTTCAATTTGCAGATGATACAGTATGTTTTGTGGATGCTTCCCCCTCTCAGGTGGAGCTAATTCTTGGGATTCTCTCTTGGTTTGAAGTGATTATAGGCTTGAAAGTTAACTGGAATAAGAGCCAAATTATCCCAGTTGGACTTGTTTCCAATTTCGCTAAGTGTGCTGGTTTTCTGACTTGTCAAATTGAAACTCTCCCGGTCAAATATTTGGGACCCTCGCTTGGGGTGAGTAGTGGTTCCTCAGCTATTTGGGACCCAGTTATTGAGAGATTGGAAAGGAAGTTGGCTTCTTGGAAGGCTAAATACCTTTCTTTACTCTAATTAAGAGTACTCTCTCCAATTTTCCTACCTACTTCCTATCTCTTTTCTCTATTCCTGAAGATGGCAAATCAGATTGAAAAACTTAAACGGAATTTCCTTTGGAGAGGCTAGGGGGAGGAGAAAAAAGTGCACTTGGTAAGTTGAGAACAAGTCTGTCTTCCCAAATCTGAAGGGGGGGTTAGGTATAAGGAAACTGAAATATTTTAACTTTGCTCTCCTATGTAAATGGATTTGGAGATTTGCTGTAGAATCTGATGCTTGGTGGAGATCTCTCATAGCTAGCAAATATGGTGTGAGCTGGGAAATTGGAGATCTGGGGACCCCCTCCTAACTAGGGTAACTCTTTGTGGAAGGGAATAATGAAGCATTTTCCAGAGTTGGTTAGGGGGATCTTAGTCAGGGCTGGTAATGGTAATAGGATCAAATTCTGGAAGGACCCTTGGTGCTCAGATGTTCCTCTTGCTGAATCCTTCCCCCTCATCTTCCAGTATGCTTCAGACCAAGAGGCCTCGGTTGCTGAGTGCTATAGTATATCTGGTGATTCTGTTCTTTGGACTCCCTCTTTCCGTAGAAATCTCTTTGATTGGGAGGTGGCTGAGGCAATGAATCTTTTGACCTGTCTACAACATCAAGAGATGGACTTTAGTATGGAGGATAAATGGCATTGGAAGTGGAATCCTGACGGGATATTCTCTGTTAAATCTTTGATGGCTAGGATTGGTAAGAGGAGTGTTCCTAATTTTCCAGTTCAGCAAGTGTGGAATCCTATTAGTCGAATTCCTCCTACCCTGTTTGATAGTGGGATTTGATTCCAAATCTCTCCTACAACCAGTTAGGGACCTAGGAATGGTAATGGAAGGGATTTGGTCAGGAATTATATTCCCCGTCTCCAATTCTGACTTTGAAATAAGTCCTCGCTTTTGATCCAAACCCATTTTTTTTGGAAAAGGTAAAGTAATATTTAATGAGAATGAAATACACATTGGAGGTTGAGATCAGTCCCAAAACGGGCTGACTGATCTAAACAGCAATTGCACAAGCCATCAAGACAAGGAAAAAAAATACATCTGATACATTACAGTTTCTAAAATCTGCCGTCACACACTACCAATAAATCAATTTGCCCACTAACTTCTGAGTTAGGTCCTCCAGACTTAGAAACTTGTTGTTGAACACCCTTCTTTTCCTCTCGGTCCAGATACACCACATTTACAACACTTGGAATCATTTTCCATAAAGTCTTATTTTTCTTGCTCCAGCCCACAATATGCCAGCAGCATAACAACTCTTTTATCGAATCCCACTATCAAACAGGGTGGGAGGAATTCGACTTACAATGTTTGCTATCGAGAAAAACATCAAATTGGATTGGTTTGAAATGACCAAATTATCCGAATTTGATTCAATTATATTGAATGTCAAATACCAATTTGGATAATCAATTTCATTTAGGCTGTGTTTGGAAACATGCAAATATGTAATGTAAAGCGGTTCATATAAATTGCAAAGTTGGGTTAGTTTTGTATTAACAAATTTACCTTCTTACCAAACAAATTTTTAGCTGTAATGGATGCAAACACAAAATCTAATAAAACATATGCTTTTTTTTTTATCAAAAGCCCACTTGAATGTAAATTTACTTCTCTTTTATTAATGTACTTTTACATCTTATTATCAATGTAAATATGCATTACTCTATCATTTATCACTGCAAAAATGTAATATTACCAAACATAGGTAAAAGTAAACTAAAGTACAAATTTATCCTTAACCGAGATTTACACTCTATTTGCATCATTTCTAAACGTAGCCTTAAGAATTTCCTCTCAAAAAAAAAAAATATCCTCAGACAAACGATCAGACCCACTTCACGGTATGTTGCGGCCCCGTAAATAACAGTGATGATATGATGAACTAGATGAAGCCGAATCAATATTTGGTTTGTTCTTTTTAGGGTTTCTAGCATATAAGGACAACTTTTGGGGTTTAATATCAATAAAAGTAATATATTTAAAAAAATTCAAAACTAGGTTAACTTTTAAAAATAATATCAATAAAGGGCAAAAATACTGTTCATCATCTTCTTCTTACCATTTGTTCACCAGAACCGCCGTCCGTCGCTGCCTACCACCGCCGGCCGTTGCCGCCCACCTCTGTCTCTACCTCCGGATTGTCGGAGGCAGAGGTGGCAGCGGTAGCACTGGTGGTCATTCCTCTGCCTACCGCTACCGCCACCTCTAACAACGTTACTGGAGACGGAGGCAATGACGGATGGCAGCTTTGGTGAACAAATGACAAGAAAAAGAAGATGAACAATGTTTTTTTGTCTTTTATTGATATTATTTTTAAAAGATTAACCTATTTTTGAATTTTTTTAAAATATATTACTTTTATTTGGGCTTCGTCTTTGATTAACGGGAAAATCTTGAGATGACAAATCCCAATTCATCCGTATGTGCACAGGTATGTTTAATGATGAACCTTCAGTAACTTCTTTAATTTCCCAGGTTGTCTCGAACGAGTTAATATAATTCTTGACGTAAGTCACGTAACAGCGATTGCATTGAAAGAGCAAGCATCCTTAATACCTTATGCGGTGATAAGCTTTCCGATTGCCATTTCATAACCGACAAGCTTATTCTACAAGTTATAACGTTTTTTTCAAAAAAAAAAAAAAAAAAGTTATAACGTTTTTCGCTAGAGCAGCAGCGTGTGAGTCGTGAGCGGCTGAGAGTGATCACATTGTTCCTTTCCAAGGCCGATAGGCAAAGGCGTAGCTTCTAGTTTCATCATATTCTTTGAGTAAACAAGTTGGTTTCAAAGTGGGCGTAGTAAGTGACACTTAAAAAAACATGGGCCCAGTCGAAGCACTCCCATCACATGGATTGTCTAGGTGGGCCATATCCGAACCCACAACTCTGTCTTTTGCTGGACTTCCAGACATAAGCTATCCGGAGGAAAAAGGCAGGAACGGTGCAGCAGCAACACAGAAGGCCCGGAACAACACTATATTTTATCCGTTGGCTCATCTCATCACATCAGACCAATTCAATTTCAATCCCGTCAGCTACAAACGTCAATGATATTTTAGTCCATCCCCTCCCTACTATCTGAAGACTCAAATTGGCACTCAATCAAACAAGTGCGTTAGAGTTAGAATTTATTGGTTTTCTTCGCTTTTTGATAAGTTATTTATTTAGGTAAATGCAGTTATTTGAGTAAATTTTTTTTTTAAATATTTATCCGAATAAGTATATTTATTCATGTTTTTTTATTTCTCATGTAAATAAGGTAATGACCATTTTAACTATAAAAATCTATTATTAAAAAAGTACTTTTGTTCCGTTCAAATATTGGTAACTTTTCCCCTATGTAAAAAAGTTATTTATTACTGCTTACCCAAGTAAATAATACTCAGAAAAATAAACTTTCTCTATTTCCTACATAAATCTAAAAAAATATAAAATTTATATTTAATGAAAATCAAAATCCCATTCACCAACTTTCAAAAATCTCAAAATCCGAAAAAAGAAGGCTCCATTAAATCTTCTGCATTATAATTTGAATAGAGTTCTGAAAATCCGAAAAAAGAACGTTCCATAAAATCTTCTGCATTAAAGTTTGAATAGGGACCGCTTCAGCGGTGGGTTAATAAATAAAATTAAATGATATCTGCATGTATTTATCTCTCTTGAGTCGCCGCCAAACAAACCAACACGGCTTTTTTTGTATTTTAGCTCGTGACTCCTTTCTAAACATTTTCAAACATCCCTTTCCTCTTTCCCTGTGCTTACATTTGTGCCTTGTATAATTGTAATACATCCAATTCAAAGCCACGTTATTTCCAAAAACAGCACATCACTTCGTTAAGTGATATAATTCATTGATTCGATAAAAGATTAAAATATTCGAATAATCAAGCATTAACACTGTATGATATGATAGTATTAAAATATCTCAATTGCAAGGCCTAAACCCCTCTAATTACTTTTAATTTTTGTGAAGGTTATAAATTATCAGTTGGGGTTGAAATAAGATTTTTGTATATCGTACGAGTCAGGACTAAATTTTTCTATAATAAAAATATAAAATACAGCATAGAAATGATTTTTTTCTTGTTAATTTCTATTTCCATTCTCCTACTAATTAGCTTCTTATTGAATTTATTGTTAAAGAGTTATTTGATTACAGCTGGAATAGCTGAATTTGACTTATTCTATTTTTTTAATGAATAATTATTTTAAGTGGTCATAGGGTCCTTAATGGCTGAAATTAAGGTTGCATTTGGATGGGATGCAAATTGTGCATCGGTTCGATTTTATATGCATTTAGAAAGGGTATAGTTATTATCAACGTAAAATTATACTTCAATTTTGTTTTACATGGGTTTGGATGGAGTGTAGTTTTATGTTGATACTTGATGTAAAACCTTATTAATTTTAAGGTTCAAAGTATTGATATGTATTAGTTCGTATTGACCGATACGTATCATTATGGCACCCCATCGATACGCCCCTACAGTGGGTGTATCGGTGGTCTGGCCGATTCAAGGTGTGGCGAAGACCTAAATCGACTCCCCTGAAATAATTGGCGGAAAAAAAAATCATCAAAAAGAATATCGATTTGTCTAATACGCCCATACCGATATATCAGACTTATCGATATTTTAAACCTTGATCAACTCTAAAATTTTATATCGATAATCGATGAAAAAACTAAATGTAAAATTTTATTTTCTTCCACTTATCACTATTTTCAAAAAACCAACGATCACTTTCTCTGATTCAGTGTAAAACATAACGCAGCCTAAAGTTGGGTTGATTAAACCATCATCCAATGAAACCGAACATGATTTAAGGTACATTGTTCTAATGCTAGCACATAGAAAACCCTTTAAGATGTGTTTGTTTGTTTAGAAAATAAGTTGTAGTCGTAGGAAAATTCTTGAGCAATTTTATAGAACAAGTGAACATCTTTTCCCTTTTATTAGTTTTCTCATAAACCAAATATAGACCATAATATTGCTTGTGGCTTGTGAGAAAATTAAAGAAGCTCCCGCTGGTCAAAATTCTCTTCCTATTTTGCTGGCGAAGGATGTTCACAACATGTGGCACGTTGGAATGTTTGGCTCGATCCGCCGACTCGGCAACTCTCGATTGCGACCCTGAGTCCCTCACAAACAGTACAAATAATTAATAAAAAATCTCGCAAATATCAATGAAGGACTGGATATGGTAATTCTTAGTAAAATAGGGGTAATTATGTAAGTACGTTTTAAATATCCTAATTCCTGTTCCTGATATGTTCATGGACCCCGTGCCAAGATTTCTTTACTCAGATGTGATTTGTTAACCTGTTACTCTTATTAATCTTATTGTACTAGAACTAAGTTTTTAAGCGTCAGATCTTTATGGGATGGTCATGTAGATTCCAATCTGACAATAGAGGTGGGAACTCACACAAAGCTGTGTGATGTGTCATTGCATTTTCATTTCACGTGACCAGCTTCTCGAATCTCGAGGCCGGTAGATGCAAAATAAAAAATGAGCCACATCCATTAAAGAGAATCAAAATGAGCCACGTGTCGCGATAATGGATATAAAGCGCCATGATCTCGTCCTCGGCTTCCGATTTTCGTGTATTGATTGATCAGGTAAGGAAGATCGAAGCCAATAGCCAGATCTGCAGCGCGAGCTTCTTCAAGCTTCAGATCTTTTTTATCCTCAGCTTCTGAAAGCTGGGTTTGGCAGAACATCTGAAAAGCGTCGACAAGTGTTAAATTGTCCGAATTCAGAAGCTTGAATCGAGGTAGTTGCATTCATTTGATTTCAATCACCTGTGAAGAATTCAGTCAGTTCTGCTCTTAGACTGATTCCTCTCCTTAGATTCTTTTGAACTTTGAGCCTGGAATTTAAACGATACCTTAGAATTTTTAAACAGAACTTGAATTTGTCATATTGAATTAAACGTGAAGTTTATGGAGAATTACAAACAACACTATTTATTTCACTCGAACTGCTGAGCTTTTACTCTCTAAATGCCTTTTCCAGCCTAGGATTTGCACCTATTTTTCATCTGAAGATGTTCTTCTCTCAACTTTCAAGTCTTTCAACATCTTTTTGCTACTTATAACAGTTGGTTTCTTTTAATGCACTCTGATTCTTGAATTCATTCAGAATTTAGCAGTATTTAATCAAGGAAGATGAGCAATACAATAGGCCAAGGCTTACTCAACCAATATCTCTGCCATCCTATTACACTAGAACATCAAAGTAAATCTGTTTGTTATGGAATCTCTGCAAATTCTTTGTTCCAAGCCTTGTCTGTGAGCCAAAAGGCACTACAAATACGGAAACGCCTTTCAACTAAGTTCCGTGAGAATAGTCTCAGCAGGACAAAATCAATAGTAATCAAAGAAAAGCGCAGCATGGTTACTCGTGCGGTATTAACTACAGATCCTGCTTCCGAGGTAACTTCCCTTTCATATTGTCAAGATGTTTATGACTGTTTTCATGTGTAACACGGAGTAGCATGTTGATATGTTATTCAGACTTGATTGCTGTTTGAAACATGACCTTTATTGGGTTGTCTTGTTACTGTGGTTCTATCGTTCTCTTATATGCATAGGTGACAATGACTGAATTTAGTTTCTTCTAACTTCGGTGAGAATCCTCATGGATTAGAAATTTCTAAACAAACTAGTTTACGGGCTACACCTGTGTTACATAACTCATATGGAGATTCGGAGACATTCTATGCTCATCAAATTGAATCATAGTTTACCTAAGAATTTGCGTGCCAACAGAAAAATAGATTTCTTGGAGAAAAGGTAAAATGCCAGTTATAAAGCTGCTATAGGTTATAGATTGAATATTCTTTCTTACCTATGATTGTGTATTTAGGTGCTTCTGTCATGCCCAAGGATTTAAAATTCAGTTCCAGACTTTGAGTTAACCAGTTCAAAATTAATTTTGTGAAACATATATTGTTTTGATTTCTCTCAAGTGGTAGAAAAAGCCAGATATTTTCAATCTTCTAACAAAATTTAAATCTTTGGTTATGCCACTTAATTATGAATTCATTCAATGATCTATTACTGCCATTTTATGGTGAAAACAAATCTGAGGGCCCAAAATTTAACTGAAGATATGACCTTTTATACACTGGAATAATGAAACAGGATTCATGTAGCAGAGTCCAAAGAGTTGGGATGATTCTCTGAGATTGAGTGTTCTATTGCTTCCATGTTGATTTAATAAGGATCGCTAGAATTTTATTCAGTTGTTGCTTTCCTTTAAGCATGCCTCTGGAAAATGTTAGTTCACATGATTTTTGCTTGATAAAGACAAATCCCTCGACAAGGCCAAGGCCTTTGCCAAAAAGGAATCCTTAAAAGCCAACTCCTAGGTAAAACCAATTGATATGATTAGTGTATATAGTTTATGATAAAACTGACGTGTTTAATTACATTTATATAAAATCATTCAGACAAGATTTTGAATGTATGGTCTACCTTACTTCATTAAAAGAGTTGAATATATGATATGCTGAAACATTTAAACTAAGATATCAAAGATTTAAAAGCTTTCTAAACATATGAATTGATATGTGCATTTTTCCACCAGCTGCATTAAGTTTCTATGCTTGTTATTGGCTCCCAGTTGTAATGCATAGGTATACATGTTTGTATCACTGTTTGTAGCTGTACACCAGGAGCCTCCATGGCTTCAACCTAATTTAGTTTTCCCATGGCTGTATTCTTTATAGGTATACATTGAATAAAGAGAGTGGCCGAATTTAGTCTATTTATCTTTAGATGAAATATTTGGGCAAGTTGATTTAGATAGATGATAATAAATTGAGAGAGTTTGTAAGTCAGGTGGTGGGATCTCTATTAATGAGTTTAACATCGAAGTTTGGCTTGGAAAATGGGTAAGGAACCAAGGAACATGTGGCATTGGACTTGGTATGTCAAATGTGTAGTATCTCTTGTGTGATTATCAAAGATTTTTGTTTTGCTTGCTCTCAAATAAGGAACATAGAGCACTTTATTGTGGCACAATCTTTTTCTTTTTCTATCTTTAACCAAGTGGATATTATTCTCAAATACGTGTAGTATCTCCAGTGTGGTTAAAAGTAATTATCATTTCCTTGCCATTTAATTCAGAAATGTAGAGCTATATTAATCTCAAATTTATAGTATTTTGGAGTGGCTATCAAGAAATCTCTTTTGGCTTGTTCTTTCATAGAGGAACATGAATCACTTTACTATCATCACCATCATCCATGTCTTTTTCCCAACTATATGGGGTCAGCCATAAAGCACTTTACTACAACAATCATAATCTTTTACTTCTTCAACTTGCCTCTGTCTTTTAATTTAGGCTTACAGAGTGGTTTTAGTCTCAAATATGTAGTAAAACATATATATATTTTTTTACCGATCTCTATGTTGGTTTTTTTGTCTCAATCCGCAGCCTTAACAGTATCTTAGGCTTGGACCACTTCTTGGCTGACAAGGATGCACCATATGTGGTGCTGTAATAATTAAAAATTAAAATATGGTCTTGAGTCTATGACATAGAGGATATCTTTCTTATGAAAATAACTTGCAGCTTGGTCCATGCCTAATGTCCTAAATAAATAGTAAAAGCAAAAATCCTACAAATGTGAGAGAGCAACTTGGGAGGATTTGCAATATATGTATTTTTATGGTTTTTTTGGGTCTTGCAGCAGATCAAGGGAAAATTCAATCTTGATGGAAGTTCTGAATTAAAGGTATTTTATGTCTCATTGCATAATTAATTTGACTCATACCGATTCTGACCATGTTAGTAATAAAAGCTTCATTCCTAAATCCTTCCAGATTGATGTCAGCTCTCCCACTCAAGGGTCTCGTTTCCGAATAGATTTTCAAGTTACAAATAGCAGTAACTCTTTGATTCTTCACTGGGGTGGAATTAGTGATGGACAAAAGTAAGTTTAATAGTGTCTGTCAAACTTTTTTTTTTCTTATAAATGCCAATATTTAATCCCCTTTTCATGTCCTATAACTTTTTTCCCTTTTCCAAGGAACTGGGTACTTCCCTCTCGTTGGCCTGATGGAACAAAAATGTATAAGAACAAGGCTCTTAGAACTCCATTTGTTAAGGTAAATTTGTATGTTAATAAAATATCATTTCTAGAAATGTATCAGAACGCATATCTTAAGGTGGTCACTGATCCACCTGGGATAACTTTAGGGATCAAATGACGTGCCATGGACACATGTATATCCATATGCTTGTATCCATTTACATAAATACAAGCATGCATACACACATACATTTAAACACACGGTATCTTTTATGTATGTTTCTATGTGTGTTTGTGTGTGTGTATGAGTGGATTTATGTTATGTATACAATAATAGTCGGTAGAAATTCCTTCCACTTGGTTTCATTTAATCAGCACTTTCTCTTTGAATTATTAAATCCTTGTACAAAATTTTTCTTATTTGTCCTGTATAGTCTGGTCCTGACTCCTTCCTGAAAATGGAAATTGATGATCCCAAAATACAAGGCATAGAGTTTCTAATACTTGACGAGTCACGGAATAAGTGGTAAGTGATTTTCAAATTCCCCAGGCCTGGTTTGGTATTCCAATGACATATCTTATTGAAATAATAACTTTCATTGTTATATTTCAAGGTTTAAAGATAATGGTGAGAACTTCCGCCTTCTTTTGTCAAGAAAGAAAAACATGAGTCCACATGTTTCAGTTCCTGAAGATCTTGTACAGATTCAAGCATATTTGAGGTGGGAAAGAAAGGGTAGGCAGATGTATACACCGGATCAAGAAAAGGTAAGTCACTGATACTCTCTGATCTATACGTTGACCAAGTTGTGGTGAAATGAAATAAAAGAAAAGCTTATGTAAAATTCTATTTTTTCTTTGTTTGAGAGTTCTTAATTAAGGTTTACCTTACAAACCTACCTGTTGGCACTTTTCCATTAACCACTGAAATCTTCAGCCATTACAAATGGTTTTTACAAGTTTTATCTTTTATTCTTTTCATATTTTGTATGGCTTTCAGATCTTCAGTGTAATAAAAAACTACAGGAAATCTCTAAGGTGTTAGCATCAAGAATTAAAAAGGTACTTCCTTATCTGATCTCTCCAAACCAGGGAGCCTTTGTGTCTGGGAGACAAATCACAGACCAAATCCTTATTGCCAATGAGTGTGTTGACTTGGTAGATTGAGACTTTTTACTCGAGGTTTTGAGAAATAGAGGTTTTGGAGAAAGGTGGTGTAGATGTGTAAAAGGTTGTGTGGCTTTGTGCCATTACTCTACTTTGGTGAATGGGGGAGCCAGGGAATTTTTACTTACAAAGAGAGGTCTAAGACAAGGAGACCCTCTCTCTCTCTCTCCCTTTTTACCTTAATAGTGGATGTTTTGAGCGATATGATCTGCAAAGCTGACTCTAGAAATCTTTTTAATGGGTGGAGAGTAGGGAGGCAAGAAGTAATGGTCACTCATTTACAATTTGCAGATGATATAATTCTCTTTTGTAAGGGGAAGCTTGAGGAGATGGTCAATTTGAAATGCTTGGTAGAAGGTTTCAAAAAGGTCTCTAATTTGAGAGTGAATTTGAATAAAAGTTGTGTGGCTGGAATTAATAGATCAGATGAGGAGGTGTCTTCCTTGGCTAGGTTGTTAGGTTGTGAGTGGAATGATTAGCCTGCAAAGTACTTGGGTTTATCTCTAGGAAGAAATTCAAAGTTAGAAAGTTTCTAGTACCTAGTTTTGGAAATATTCACAAAGAGACTAGCAGGTTGGAAGAGGAATTACATCTCTTTAGGAGGTAGAATCACTTTAATTAAGTCAACACTAGCAAATTTTCCAGTGTACTTCCTGTCTACCTTCAAAGTGCCTGCTAAGGTTGCAAATCAGTTGGAAAAAGTAATGAGATATTTCCTCTGGGAACTTGGGGAGTCAAAAAAGGATTACCTAGTGAAGTGGGATGTGGTCTCTAGGACAAAAGACAAAGGAGGTTTAGGGATTGAAAATGTCCATTTAAGAAACACAACACTCTTAGGTAAGTGGTTGTGGAGGTTTCTCAAGAAGCAAGAAAGTTTGTGGCATAGAGTGATAGAAAGCATACATGGATTGGCAACTAATGGATGGGATGCTTGTCTCAACCCAAGGGCTTCTCGCTCCTCTTCGTGGAAAGACATTGTTGGTATCCTACCTGTCTTTCTCATTTCATCAAGTATGACACTTGTTTAGGTAATAAGGTCCTTTTTCGGGAGGACGTTTGGGTTGGGGTCCAACCTCTTAAGGATAGGTTCCCAGCCTTCTACTCCCTGTCCTTGAACATTTAAAGTCATATCTACATTTTGTGTTTCTGGAGAGTCGTGGGATCTAGGGGTCAAGAGAGGGTTGAGGGAGTTAGAAATAGGGTTGGAAGATGATCTTTTCTCTCTTCTAAACTCAGTGTTTTTGGACCAATCTTGTCCTAATAATGGAATTTGGTCTAAAGAGTCCTCCGGTTGTTTTCTTGCTCTTCTTTCTTCAATGCTTTAGTGCACTCTTCCAATTTAGTTTACTCTTTTTCCTGTAAAAGAAGTGTGGAGTGCTCCTGTACCTCCAAAGGTGAGGGCTTTTTGTTGGGAATTGGTTCTCCAAAAAATCAATACTTTGGACTTGCTTAAAAAAAAAGACCGAATTAGTTCTTATCCCCTCATGTTTGTAGCCTTTGCTTGAAGAGTGGTGAGATGGTAAATCATCTACTAATCTCTTGTCCTTTTGTTACTCTTATTTGGGATTGGTTTTCCTTTCTCTTTGGGTGCAAGTGGGTTCTTCCTACAAGCGTGGTGGATCTTTTTGAATCTAGCCTTTTCTGTCAGCCAAAGAAAAGATGAAGGGTAATATGGAGAGCAACGAAGGCAGCAGTTGTTTGGGCATTGTGAGAAGATAGAAATAACAGAATCTTTCAAGGGAAAGAAAAATCAGCACATGAAGTCATAGAAAGGATCACCATCAAGGTTATACATTGCTGAAATTGCTGGACCTGTTCAAGGACTTCTCTGTAGATGACTTAATTAGAGGGTGGAGCACAGTAGCAGCTTCCTCCTGCCCCTCTAGCTATTCAAGAGGACTGGTCGGCCCCGTTATTTGTGGCTGTTAGCTAAACTTTGATGGCAGCTTTGTAGGTAATCCAGGCCCATTTGGAATTGGGGGTGTCTTTAGATATGGGGGAGGAAAAGTCCTGGACTTTTATTCTGGCCTGATAGGATTGGGGGATTCTCTTAGAGCAGAAGTTCTGGCACTCCTATAGGGGCTCAAACTGGCTAAACAGATGGGTTTTCAGCAGTTGGAAGTGGAGGGAGATTCCAAACTGGTAATAGGTTGGATGCAAACAAACAGATTAGGTGCCTGATCCCTTAGACAACCTGTAAGGGAGATTATGAAACTAACAAGAGAGCTTGAAGTCTGGTTTAAATGGACTAGGAGATCAGCCAATGCAGTGGCTGATACTTAGCAAAACAAGGAAAAAAGTCCCAATCCAAAAACCAGATCAAGGAAAAAAAGAACCACAAGAAACACAAATAAAAGCTTCCCACTTCTCCAAGTTCCTTCCAAGTGCATCATCATTCAATTTGACAATCAAAAAAAGAAGAAGAAGAATATCTAGCACCATTTTCATCTTCAAACTTCAAACATGATCTCATAAAACCAATATGCCCCTTAACTTCCTTTGCATCTGCCCCTATTAATTCTCTCTTTCTCCTTATCTCTCTTTCCAATTCCAATAATACTTTTCTTGCAAAATCATCTCAACCTCATAAAAACAAATCCAAGCTTTTAGTGACTTGAATAGCTGTATCAATCATCTTGTTTGGATCAATATTCCTATCAACTGGTCAGTTGTCCATTTCAACAATACTGTAATCTCCATCTTCCTTGTTCCTCTTTTTTTTTTGAAAATCTCACCACTGCAATTTTTTTTTTATTTCTTTTGAAGGGCTACACAATGGGGGGTAGCCCATCCCCCAACCCAGGTGCAGGCGGGATTCGATCCCAAGTCTCCGCTACGACCAGCAGGAGACCTTACCAACCCGCTGGTTGGCACCTTGCCTTCCTTTCTCTTCTTCAACCATTCTCACTAATTGGGTCTAGTACGATATCTTTTAATTTGGCAATAAAACTATACAAGAGTTCTGATTGGTCCCTCATCACAAGACTCAACCTTTCCTTCAATTTCCAATAATCTAGGTTAAGTACCACCCTCATCTCTAACAACCTTCTAAATTTAATTAGAACTAAAAATCTTTCCAGGTCTGATATCTTTACTAACATCAGCATACCCTTCTCCAGAAGTTCCTTGGTTAGCTGGAAGTGTTATCACCTTGACTGGCTCCAACAGGCTTTTATCTATCACTTAACTAACTTCATTTTAGCAACTATTCTTTGAAGCAAACAGAGATAAGGTAGTACTTCATAACTTCTGAAATAGGTTCTGAAAGCTAAGCGCATAAAATGTTCTTAATAAAATCTCTTAGTCTAAACTAAAATACACCTTAGTGATGTGAACTAGAGGCCATTACCCAATGTTGGTCCCAGCTATCTGGGGTCTTGGGAGGGGTAGATTGGGTATGGTTCTAACCTTTGGAATTTTTGCCCTCAGACTTGAACCTGCATTTTCATGCTTACCAGCTATCTGGGGTCTTGGGAGGGGTAGATTATGCATTACACCAACTAATGGCCCCTTCCTTAGTGATGAACTAAATGATGCCATTTCAAACCCTTAACTGAACCATACCCCCTATATGCCCATGTCTAACCACTAACCTATTTGCCTACCAATCTTTTCTGCCCGAAATCCACAATTCTGTCAGTTTCTAATCAGCTTCCTCAACATCTTGGGAAAATTTGCACCGGTTACTCTTGTAATGAAAGAAAAGTTTTGGTGGTTTTATGAATAGATTATCACACACTGTTAAACATTTGTTATTCTAGAAGACACCTAAATTGCTTGGATTCAATAAGAAAAACATGGTAGAACTAGTGCTCTATCAACATCTTTTTTCTGCTCTCTGTGTTTTGACATGGAATCCATTGTGGAGTGCCAGGGCGAACCACCTCAGCCGAGATGGTTGTACACAAGGACAAGATAAATGCCTGAATGGTGGACAACATGTAAGATCAAACATCTCTGTGGTATCAACCAGGATAAGTCCCAGATTGAGAAGGGACACTTAGAGCTTAGGTAGTCCCCTGGGAGGGATTGGTGCCTCAACGGGGCAGCTTATTGATTTCTTTAGCATACCTATCTTGAGTGTCTCCTTCCATCTTTGTGTATAACTTTGGCAACTATGTCAGAAACACTTGCATTTTGTGTGGCACCTTTGTGGTGTGGACCAAGGTGCACTCCATATTGAGAATTGGCAGTGTGGGTCCAGTTGATTTATACATTCAGGTCCTGGTGCAAGCTAAGGCATACCTGAATTTGAGTAGAGATACCTTGAGCTCAGTTGGCATCTTTGGTATGGATTCTCTCCTCAATTAGGTGACACTTTAATTTCTTGAGCATGTGAATCTTAAATGCTTTCTCTAACTTCAGGGAAGGTGGGAGTTTAATGGTAGTGATGATATGATGGTTGGTGAGGCTATATTCTTGCATCAGACATTTTGGAACTGCACCTTGGATCGGAGTGTCTCATCTTCACTTTGATGCTCTGGGACAATGGTCATTGAAGTTGCCTTGTTGTGTCTATTTGAGTGCTATCCTAAAGCAAAGGATGTATCAGGAGTTGGTGGGAGGGAGTGATTCCAGCCATCAGATCTGCAGCTTATCTG